TACATTCCATTTCATAATGGTGTATATGTGGCTGTATAGGGTTGGTACATTCCATTTCATAATGGTGTATATGTGGCTGTACAGGGTTGGTACATCCTATTTCATAATGGTGTATATGTGGTTGTACGGGGTTGGTACATTCCATTTCATAATGGTGTATATGTGGCTGTACAGGGTTGGTACATTCTATTTCATAATGGTGTATATGTGGCTGTACAGGGTTGGTACATTATATTTCATAATGGTGTATATGTGGTTGTACGGGGTTGGTACATTCCATTTCATAATGGTGTATATGTGGCTGTACGGGGTTGGTACATTCTATTTCATAATGGTGTATATTTGGCTGTACGGGGTTGGTACATCCTATTTCATAATGGTGTATATGTAGCTGTACGGGGTTGGTACATCCTATTTCATAATGGTGTATATGTGGCTGTACAGGGTTGGTACATCCTATTTCATAATGGTGTATATGTGGCTGTACAGGGTTGGTACATCCTATTTCATAATGGTGTATATTTGGTTGTACGGGGTTGGTACATCCTATTTCATAATGGTGTATATGTAGCTGTACGGGGTTGGTACATCCTATTTCATAATGGTGTGTATGTGGTTGTACGGGGTTGGTATATCATATTTCATAATGGTGTATATTTGGCTGTACGGGGTTGGTACATCCTATTTCATAATGGTGTATATTTGGCTGTACAGGGTTGGTACATCCTATTTCATAATGGTGTATATGTGGCTGTGCGAGGTTGATACACTCTTTTTCTGAAGTTTAAAATATAACTTGGCATAAACTAAGATGCAAAATTGATGCTGTTCCACTGTGTTTGATATTCAGGTGATATACTTACATTTGCATGACACTAACATGTACAGTTTTGTGTATACCTTATGTTTTTACTATTCGATTATGGCTCGTAAGTCATTATGCATTGTAAGTCGCATTTGTGTTGTTTTTAACGACGCGTTCTTGTTATGTTAAACATGGCGTAGACGAGTGAAAGTAACATCAAAGAAAATATCAGAGTCACCATTCAGAGTACTAGTATTCTGAGCGTACAAAACACTAAGTTATTCAGCGGCAATAATAAAGTTGTAGCAAACTTTAATTTCTCCCAGCCATAATTGTAAAAAATAATGATTCAACTGATGATGGTCAATAGTGAATACGTCATCAAGATTGAACGTTTTCCACACACATATTGTAATCAATGTATCACTTATTCTATCATATTTTCTGTTTAAAACCAGGTGTTTGGTACAACTGACAAATCAATAATTGGAAAGTTCTTGGCAGATCACGATTATGAATATAAATGGGACGATGATGGATCTTTATCCTACTGGATTACGTTGCCAGTTTTTACGATACATCCGAAGACTGGTAAGATATACAATCAGCTTTGATTATCCACGGGGCACTGGGTGTTTGATAATAAATGAACGGGTGTAACTTTGGTACCAGACTCAGTTCTTTAACAAAAGCTAGCGTACGGTTTATAGCATTTCTACTCATACTATTAACAAACGTCGACCACGAAAATTACAACGTAAAAAATATTCATCAGTAAGGTTACCCCCTTCACCCACGTATGTAATATAAACACAAATGTATTGGTATATTATGTATATCTAGTCACCGCTACTTGAAGCTGTCATGTGAGACAGTGGCTTGTATCAGGAAGTGCGTCTGTTTATCGGCGAGGCACATTTGTCGTATCGTCAGTTCACTTGTATAGGATACAATTTGTATTGTATTTGAATTTAAGTTTATTATATGTAAACAATGGAGCAGTTCTCAATTATTGTGACTTGAGATATTTTATGAAAACAATCAATGTTGCAGCATTTGTTTACAAACCAGGGATCAACATATTGTATCATTAGTTTATAAACTTAGTTTATTGGAATTATATACAAACAATGTTGTGACGTATATAATCAGAAAGTTGTATTATATTATTCACATATCATGCTGCAAAATGCATAAATTATCAAAAAAATATTATGTATAAGTAAACTTGTTATTGATAAATAATAATAAAATATCTCGAGTCATGATTAAATAACAATTAGGTAATGAAGGTGAAATTATTTATATATAATAATACGTTAGCTAAAGATTTCTATATAATTGATTTGAAATATCATTATCAACCTTCGAAAAAAAATACATCTGTTACATTTAACAAGTTTAAACCCTAAATAATGATTTATAACTAAATACAAGCGGCGCCCCGTGTAAAGTAATTATTTTTACATTGTACATAGGTGATAAAAAGACCTAAAACCCGTAAACACCGGCAGGATTGCCCAGTATGCATTGCAGTTGTATATTTCTATTTCTTTACAGGTGAAAAGATATGGTTCAACCAAGCCTCGTCATATCATGCGTCATACTTACGTGAAAATCCTGTCTATGAAGGCATGGATTATCTTCCTGACAACAAGCTGTCTAACACATGTTGCTATGGCGACGGCAGTGAAATTGAGCCAGAGGTAGTGCAGCATGTCCGTGACGTTATCTGGCAATCGTCTGTCGGATTTCAAATGAAGAAAGGAGAGATTTTAGTTTTCGATAATTTATATTCTCAGCACGGCAGAATAGGGTATACCGGTGAACGTAAATTGTATGTGAATCTAATCGCAAGTTAAGAGTATGAAGTGTGTTCTCTAGGTGCTGTGTAATCGACTAGCGAATTAGCTGTAATTTAAATGAAGACAACAATCCAACACATTCCCGGTGATTTTTTTTAAAAAAACACTATTTTGTTAGTTATATGACACACAGCAACACAATACAGCAAATAGTACCACGTTCATAGAAAAGTGAATGTAATTAAATGCTATATAGATGATCAAAAAGGCACAGTATCCATGGGTGTGACCAACATCATGGTATTGATTTATGGATGCCGGCTATACCGATATGTCAGTCACACATGTGAAAACAATGTTAGCAATAACACAGTAAACAATATAATAATGTAACAGTGAATGTAAATACAAATTTTCTTTTATTGAGATGGCTAGTATATATATGTTATGTCATAACTCTCGTGTAGTTATCATAAAATATTTTATGATTTATCACGATTTTACTAAGCAAAGATGGATTTTAATGTCAGGATATGTAATGCTTACAATGAAATTGATGATGATATGTTGCAGCTAGTTCACTGACACGTTATATGTTTCGTGTACATTTAATACAACATTATATAGAATAGAATCGCATCTTGAATAATATATATATATTGACTGTTACTTTGAAATATGGTGTATCATTCAATTGATTGGTATAATATCGTTAAATACAAAATCAATTGCACAATTAGTTAAAACCATAAAAGGTATAATTTGCATTTCAATTTTCGTAGAATATTGGTTCACGGTTAGCAACATATATTTCAGTACAGGGATTAATTGATTTCTACTACCCATTCCACCACGTGTATACCGTGGAAGTATATAAATTAAAATATTAGTAGCATCAACTACATTGTGTTAGTTTGAATAAAATTATATTATTATTATTATTATTATTATTATTATTATTATTATTATTATTATTATTATTATTATATTAATTGAATGAGCGTACACTGACTCACAAACAAGTTGTGCAATGAGCGCAAAACATTTATTATATTTACACTGGCTTATTTGCCCAGTGTCACTAGTTTTCTAGACGAGGGCTGCTATTAAACAACTCATCCAACAGATCGCAGGAGATGACTACATCTTAAAAGAACACGTGGTAGGTGTATATGCCTAAGTGATTGGCGACTAGGTGTGGGCATGAGTGGGCAGAAGTGTAGGATTTTTCAAAGGATAGGTCAAAAGTACGCCCCACAATCTTCTGGGATGAGGTCTGCAATAACACCGTGCGTCAATACAAAAAAACTTCTTTGGTTGGAGACCAGCCACTGGTTAAGTTAACAAGACGTCGCTCTCGAATTTCTGAAAAAACACCCCGGCCAGATTTGGTTTAGTGTCACAAGATACTAATAGCTCATACAGTGGCGGGTGTTCCCAGGAGAAATAATGTCAGAGAGCCCAGGAGCTAATGTGTAACACTGCCAAGACAGTAAAATGCAGAAAGTTCTGGTAACATCCTGACACTGATAAAAAAAATATATACGCTGAAAGATATGGGTGTCACTGCAGAGCAAACCACAAATGTATAACGGAACATTAGGATATGTTACCTGCCTCGAATCTATTGGACTAAAATATAGCGTTTCTAATTTATCAGCTGACTCTACATGGGCAATTGTGTGTGTTTTGTCTTGTTCATTAGCTATCAGTCCAGTTACAGATATGAATGTGAAAAAGTTACTGCATCACAATAACGTGTAATCATGAATATTTATAGGGACTAATCATCGTGGTCCCCCAACGGCCATATTAATACAAATTGATATCATTTGAATTGAATTATGCTAACTTTCAATGCCAGTGATAATTCAACAGTCAACTCTTTTTAGATCGCGGCAGTACTTTACTTTGGCTCACAGAAAGCAAAAATTATAAACATCGATACTTTATTTTGAGCGTAAAAGACCAGCTTTTGTGAAATCAGCGATTGCCACTTGAATAAAGAATTGATATTTATAGTTGTTTCACCCATATACATGACGCCAAGCTTTTCATCTCCCGGTGTACATGTATAATGTGGATCATAAACTGGTGCTAATGTCCGAAAGTTTAAGAAATATTTCGTATATATATTTCAGGTAGAATGTACTAAACATTGTATGGAAATGACAAAACGACCTTAACCCTAACTAATTTAGTCTTTGAAAACATTCCTGACATGAATGGGAAACTATAGCTTGGCCATGTGTTCTTTAAAAAAAAACCTGTGTATTGGGCAATAACAATATTGTATGACGCTGTCTAGAAAATGAAAATAAATGGTTTAACATGACAGATATAACTCACTCACGGATTCATTTACATTGAGTTTTCATGCCAAGCGTGGCTTTATTGATTAACAAGCCTGGAACTTCCTGAGCCGTGGTTACATCAAAAACATGTTGTTTAGTAGTTTTTATTATTGGTTCTTTACAATAAGTTCACAATGCATTGTAACTGCGCGCAGAAATGTGTGAATTGGGCTCTTACTGGCCTTGCAAGTTATTGATAAGGTTTTAACCTGGTATATTTACATTTACAATTACAGTTTGTGAAGATTGATCTCGTACGGTGAAATTAAGTGTGGATATTAACAGCTACATTGTACTCTAGACACGCATCATTACATACTGCACACTCGATATCGTGACGTCAGAACACTGAGTTGCTTACTGCCAAGCGTGGAATTCATCTCGGCTTGGTTATTGTTATCAAAACACAAAAGTATCGCTTATTTGATTAAAATGGGTATATATAGTATTGAGGTACTGTATGTACTTTGAATATTCATGAAAGTAAATGACCAATCAGTGCGTGTTTCATTGATTCTTTTGTAGTGGAAAGGAAACCACCGGTGAAAGATGCAGTTTATTGCAATTTTCGATTCATTGCGAAACTGATTACGTGATTGTGCCTGATTGGCTATCCAACCATAACACCTCACATTCAGCCCAATCAGAAAGCAGCTTGTTTATCGACAGAATTTGTCGACGTATCAAATTATGCATTGTATATATGCGACTGCGACTCAACTACGACTTTCAGTTGCTGCAAGGAACCCATAGTTTCATAACTTGTGCGCGTACAATCCTTGTGCGCGTACAATCCTTGTGCGCGGTTTCATATGAGTTCTATGTGACGTATACAACGCATGTACAATGTGGAGTCCACATGTGACAACTATGGCGCTGCGTGACAACTATGGCGCTGCGTGACAACTATGGTGCTGCCTGACAACTATGGCGCTGCGAGACAACTATGGCGCTGCGTGACAATTATGGCGACTGCTTGATAATCGTAGCATTACGCGAATATGGCGCTTTAACTTATTAGTTTCAAGTAATTAAGTTTATTTGAATTACCAGTTTTTTGTATATCCCATTATTTCTGATCGTCTAAGATAAGCAGATACATGTAAATCACCTTGGTAATCACAAAAAACATTGTGAGAAAATCGTATATTTCTAAAAATAGTAATTCAAGAGATTGGGTCTGTGAAAGAGGTGGTTAGGAATATAGCTAAGCGTTGTGTGATGTCGTGGCGTATTCGTAGAATGAATGCTTCGTGATGATTCCTCCTTGGTCAGAATCGCGTTACGGTAACCTTGTTTACACAATCACAAAATCACGTGACTACAACGATTAGTAGCAGTATATTAGTTTACTTTTTGATCCATGATTACAGTCATAATGCTAACATATGTTGACACTTAGCTCAAACAAAGCAGTATAATATGAAAAGTTTTTGTTACAATATGATTATTCAGGTATTGCCACACGAGAGCTTTTGGATTCTAAATATAGAATTGTGTGTCCATATCATACACTATTCAGCTGTAATGATTGCATAACTGAGACAACTTAAATATCTAATACGAAGAAACTGTCGTGGCACAATTCAATTACCATCCCGGGCATTCGGACGCCTTATGATACTCATAATTAATACACGTGACACATTTAATGTACATGCCATTCGATACAATATTGTTTAGATTTTGTTCAGTTGACTGATATGAAGATTATATGCGGCTATCTCTTTATCAATATATGACAATGTCCATGTGAATTAGAACGGTGTGAAATAATGTTCCTCAAGTTTAAACAGGTTTTAAACTCGTTGAGATTCACCAAACGCTTTTGTCTTCAGTCCACCATTCAATAGCTCGCTTAGCACCTTTGAGATTTCAAGTTTCATTCGGCTCATGCACGTCGATTACTTCCACTTGTCAAACTTCCCCATAAGAGCAATTCGGTTTATGCTTCCTGAAAAAAGAGAATGACACATATAATAATATAATAGAAAATTGATCGCAAACCAAAGAATCGCATTTCTATGTTGATTACAATTGTCATTATTAATACAAATACTTTTATTCCACTTCGGATCCCTGGATACTTACTTTCCGAAATCCTCAGCTTCCATCAACGTGTCGGGTAATTTCCTTCCCCTGGTTTCAGGTAGTGGTATTATAAGCAATCCTGCTATAATAGATGTAATACCAGACACAACTGAAAAAAGCGGCTCCCATATTGTGCTCATGAATATTAATTGGGGTGCTATCATAGCACCTACACCAGCAATAGAAGAGCACAGACCTACACCAGTTAACCTAATATTATAAATACAATATGTTAACATTATGCAACATATACATCACTTCAAGTAGTCGCTTGTCACGAATGCATGTTATTGCTGAGGTCTCTAATTAATAAGGGTGTATGGAAGAGTGAATACATCATTCTAATTTTGAGTGACTAGATATGTAGAACAACAGATGTGACATACATTGATGGTATCTGAGATATATGTGAGATATCAACGCATGGGATATCAACGAGAGGATGTCTCTTTGTTATAGAGAAATAACTCTTACAACATGATAGAACTTTCCAAAACCTTTGTGATGAAGCAAGTGGGTGATATAAGCACTGAGTTTTAAAATGGCACAGCCCCCCCCCCCCCATTGATACGCAGAATTTGTGGAATTCGTCATTCGCACCTGGATGCATCTTAGTTTTATACAACCAATCAAACCACGGACATTTGGTATTCACAATATTCAAGTTGTTTGATTGGCTACGTAATATCGGCTGAATGTGCGTATAAATGCATTGACGCGCATCGTGGAGAGATGGAAGCATATCGCATTTTCTCAGACGTTTCCGACGATGAACTAATAGGAGCGACGCAGACAGCTGAATGAATATTTGAATCAGCTCGGGTTTGATAATGTCGATATTGAACCGGGTACTGTTCCATAAGTATTTTCTCACTTCAGTGACTAAAATACTGGTTTATCATATTCTTGTATTACAAAAAGCAAACTTGACTTTACATGCAACTTGTTTTTATCATATTGCAGGAAATCCAGAGTGGACGGTTTTGCGACCCAGTGTCGGATTCTGCTGTACGGGCCGTCGCTAATGATTAAATACCAAAAAACACAAGGCGACATGTGGGCTCTACGTACTTTTAATGAATGGGCGATGGTTCGAAATAACATCCGACTGGAATTAATGACTGATGAAATGGTGGAAATTTATGACTGTATCGAAGTAATGCCCGTCGTGGACTCGGCTTATTAGTTAAGTAAACTCGTTCTAGAGGTCCGTTAAATGGATGGAAATTATCCTACAAAAACATTGTTATCTTTGATCATGGGTTTGCAAAGCTACCATTGTTCCGAGCTGCAAACGCCTCTAAATGTCCCAAGTGATAAAGAATTTCAAGGTTTTCGTGAAGTGCTCGATTCAGAAATGAAAATATTGTCCAGTTTGGGATTGGGATCGAAAACAAAACAAGCTGAGCTAATTACCAAAGACCAACCCGCGTTACTGTGGAAAATGAAGCTGCTATTCTCCCGAGATCTTGTTCGCACTATGGTATTTCTAAATGGCAAACACGTTGCCGTCAGTAGCGGAATGGAACATCGAGCTCTACGTGGAATCCCAATCACTTTACACACGAGTCACCGGGTGAAACGCCTTATTTGAAGTATGTGGAAGACGTGTCGAAGAGCAACCAAAGTGGTCTAAAGCATTGCAGAGTAAGACGAAAGGAGGTAATGCATTATGCAAATGCTGAAAAACCCCAACAATGCCATATAAGAATGTACAAGTACACCTCACGCAACAAAAAGCATTCTACCTGCAACCCCGGCGTAAATACAAAGAATCCGGCAAGATATGGTTTACTAAGCAGCCGATGGGTCACAATTCTATTCAACTCGTTGTGCCAGATTTATTCCGATCTGCTGGAATCGTTCGAAACTTTACAAACGTGCTACAGTTGAGACCAGTCTTTATGAGCATGGTGTTGATGAGCAACCATAATGGAACGAACAGGACACCGCTCAGTAGAAGGTACCAAACTTGAACATTATCAATATATTGCTATCATTGTAAACTAACTTACCTAAAGAAAGTAGCAAAGCACGTTTTTACCGGTTGATTTTTAAATGAATACATGATCACATGAAAAACTTAATTAAATTTAAATTATCTTGACAATGTTGTTTTTCTAATCTACAAGTGTTCCCAGTTATAAACGCACAACGGAGAACTAGGAGAAGAAAGTAAGCGAGATTTTGAATGGCACCGCAGCTGCTACAACCTCCAAGCAAGTAAACGTCGACCTTGATGAATTTTCCGACACGTTATCTCCTGCGGATGTTGGAATCCATAAACTAAACACCCAAGACGCTGGAGCTAGAATTGCGTGTTTACTATTACCGGAAATATCTGATCAATTATAGCAGTATAATATTTGATTGAAAACATTGAAAACAATAAATTTGCAACAAACGTTTAACCTGTTTGTGTAATATATTCGGAAATAGGTCGTGATATCATCCCTCGGCTTCGCCACGGGATGATATTACAACCGTACCAAGGGAAGTGTTATTTCGAGGCATGATATCGGAAATGACACGAGACGAACTCGAGTGTTATTTCCGATATCATGCCGAGAGTATGCAGGTATATAACTATCGCCCATTCCCTTCAAATAT